ACCCTCTGGGTGGGTGTGATGCTGTGGAAAGTGTTGTTCCCCGAGAGCGGGTTGACGCCCCCCCATGACCTCGGCCACTGCGATTTGTGAGCAGACAGTGCATCGTCCAGAGCCTTCGAGTATTGGCCAGCTCTAGCAGATTAGTTAGCAACTCGTCTAGGACTCGTGCTCTGTGGCGCATCAACATACTTAACGTCCTGCTTGCGGTTGAGGAGCAAGAAGAGCAGCGCACAGAGAAAGGCTTCGACTCGTTCGCTAGGAGGATTGTCAATAATGCCGCGCTCGAGCTCTTGAGGTCCAAAGTTGGCTAGGGATTTCGGGAAGGCATCGTTGAATCGGCTCCGAAACATAACTAAAAACTAAAGGTACGTTAGCAGACCCGATGACGTGAAGGACGCGAATCGACGCGTTTTCTGCGCGAATTGACGCGACAATTGACATACAGCGATGTCTGGATTGTCTTCAAAGGTGTTCTCGTGCGGAGGTGAGGGCGAACGCTTGCGAGGTGGCGGTGAGGGCTCTTTGGCAGCAGTTGCGGCCTTCTTGCCTTTGGCGAGCTTGGGGAAGAACTTCAAGATGCCATCGCCTTTTTTCGTCTCGGGCTCTGGCTCTGCGTCGGATTCGATATCGGACGGCACGGGCGACAACGATGACAGAGAAGACAGGTCTGAAGAGTCGTCGTCTGCCATCTTGAAGATTTTTTTTTTTGGATGGGGGATTCGCGTTGATGGCTGCTGCGTGTGGCAGTGTCGAAATTGGATGGGTATCGTGGTAGGTGGAGGAAGTTTAGGCGCGTATGTTGAATTGAGGAAGTTTTGAACGCCCACCCACGGGACTAATTAAGTCACGTTTGAGCCGCAACTTCTTTGAGCCTGGTTCTCTGATAGGTCCGAGTCATTTAAAATCTACCTACCTGCCTACAACCTTTCTACATAATCTGCCTTTCTTTCAACCTACCTGTATGAATAACGCATTGCCGCATACCCCAAGACCTTCCTAAGACAATGGCAGCAGCAGCATGCTTCCGGCCGCCCTATATTTGCTGCTTCTCATTGTGTTTTAGGGCGTCTTGTGGACCGTGAAGCACCAGCTTTCCAGGTTGCCCTTGAGGATCTTGGAGAATCCACGCTGGCTGTACCCCACCTAACAGCTACCGTGGGATATCCCAGACAGACTGAACCTCACACTCAACATCATGTCTCACCGACCATGAACCAGAAAGCACACCGGCCCATCAGAACGAGGGCATCGTCTGAGTTGTGGGAATGATGGTTTTATCGTCCACAAGTGCAGTGACGGTCGCTCTTAGAACCCTGAGATATGGCTGCACTTGATTGTTGCGTGTAGGTCAGACAGCCACCGGTTCGTCATGTACCACGCATACCGGCTTCTCGAAGTTGATGCCATTCCTCAACCATCTGGTTGACCAAAAAAACTGTCCTTGTCCGCTGGGCCCGCTCGCTCCCGCTGGGAGCACCAGTCCAGAGTTGACCTCACAACGGCAGCCGCCCCCAACCGTCCAAAACCACACCAATTCAAAAGACGCAGCCCAATGAATTAGTTGTTGCAATAATGGAAAGTTGGATCCCCACTTCGTATCAAGGGCGTTGGTTTGGCACTTGCAGAGCATACTCGTAAACCATGTACCCATCCGTTACTGTCTTGTCGATGGTCACATGACTGCACCACAGCCAGCCTAGCCCGACGCCCGACGCAAACGAGGGCCAACGCAACTTGCGTCCCAGGACACCTTTCTCATCCCTCGATTGAATCCATAGTCGACCATGGTGGTTTGATGCAGCCTCCAACTTATTTCCGGAAAAGACGTCCAGAATAAAGCGATATGCGGTTGGGACATAATGCATGCCTGAAAACGGACCTAAGCACTTCCAAAATGGCCATTGTAAATCGGCCAATCCATCAACAATGATGTATGTGCAGTGCTAGAAAACCATACGCGTGTCCACCAGTGCTGCGGCGCCTCACTGAAGGCAACCGGACCATGGCGATCGCTTGCGGTAATACGTGCTGATCCCGCGTACTCGGCTCTGCTTGGCCAGGATGCAGCTGCATCCCCTCAAAAATGCCCGCGTTAGGCGTGCGGTGAGAATTCATGGGTCGCCGGGCGCGCGATGAAGCTCTCGCCCACCCCGGCAAAGATTCGGATGACGTTGGTCGCTGGACCACACGATGCTGCCTCGACCTCTAGGGTTCTGGGATCCTCGCGGAACTTCCTTCAGCAGCTTCTAAAACATGCCAGCCCACAAAACACATTTGATCTCGGTCAGACACAGCTATCCTGACAGAGCGTCAGAACATGCAGCCTTGAACAGAACGCAGCAGACAGTGAGAGAAATGCGAAGCCGAGTAGAACACCCACATGAGCCAGATCGAATCCATACTCTTTCCGTCTGCATCTACAGAATGATATAGCATGAGTGAGGAGATACTGCAGTGCATGATGGCGCTGAGAACATCGTGGGCGTGGGCCGCTGGGGCCGTAACTAGACGTTTAGGACATGAGGGTTAAGTGCGGAGATCGTGACACGATGCAGGCGGTTCTCTGGCTCGAGGCTAGAATGGACTGGCCAAACAGCATAGATCTTGTGGGGCTACACCGCTGCCAGTATTTTTCCTGTCCGAAAACTAACTCTCTCGATGTGCCCCACCGAAAGAATTCTGAAGGAACAGTCGCTATGCACGTGACGGGCTCGGTTAATGGAACGAGCCAGTGTGGGGCCCAGGGCACACTTTCCCGGCCCACGACCTCCTTCTCTAGCAAAATTGTTTCGAGGTGACTTTTGAAATCCCCAACTCACCACCGACGACAACACCTAGCCCTCCGAACGCCAGAGGACAGCCAAGATGGGTCGCGTTGTAAGTAATTGTTCTATTCAACACTCGATTTCATAACAAATTCGAAAACAATGGCGCATATTCGACTTTACTGCCGGTCGCCGCGCCCGATATTGATCGATTTCGAAACCCACGAACATTTTTCTTCGCGATGGACTTGTGGCGTATGGGACACAATGAGTGCTGACAATCTCTCTCCCAGATCCGTAACCAGAGAAGGGGCCGTGGCTCTATCTTCACGGCCAATACCCGCCTGAACAAGGTGAGATCCGATCCTATCGAACCCCCGCGACACGACGACAGTTTGTTCCTAACGAAATTGTTGTGCAGGCCCCTGCGAAGTTCCGCAACCTCGACTATGCCGAGAGACACGGATACCTTCGCGGTATCGTGAAGGACATCATCCACGACCCCGGCCGTGGCGCTCCCCTTGCCCAGGTCGTCTTCCGCGACCCCTACAAGTTCAAGCAGCACACCGAGACCTTCATCGCCAACGAGGGCATGTACACTGGCCAGTTCATTTACGCCGGAAAGAAGGCCGCCCTGACCGTCGGCAACGTCCTGCCCCTTGGCTCCATGCCTGAGGGTACCGTCGTCTCCAACGTTGAGACCAAGATCGGTGACCGTGGCACCCTGGGTCGCACCTCCGGCAACTACATCACCATTATCGGCCACAACCCCGATGAGGGCAAGACCCGCATCAAGCTCCCTTCCGGCGCCAAGAAGGTCGTCCACTCCGAGTCCCGCGGCATGATCGGTATTGTTGCCGGCGGTGGCCGTACCGACAAGCCCCTCCTGAGTACGTTTTGGCCCCTAGTTGTGGATGGGTAAAGACTGCGAAAAGACGCAGTCAAAGAGAACAACAACCCACTAACAGTCATCTACAGAGGCTTCTCGCGCCAAGCACAAGTTCGCCGTCAAGCGTGGTGCCAACTGGCCCAGAACTCGTGGTGTTGCCATGAACCCCGTCGACCATCCCCACGGTGGTGGTAACCACCAGCATATTGGTAAGGCCTCGACCATCTCCCGCTACGCCGTCCAGGGACAAAAGGCCGGTCTTATTGCTGCGAGACGGACGGGTCTGCTTCGTGGTACCCAGAAGACGAAGGATTAAAGGTCAGCATAGTTTGGCTGGATTTCAGGGTTCCATTGGGATGGTGTTACGCGGCTGGCATCTTTTGAGGGTACTCGCCAGGGCAGTTCATCTGGTAGCTCGTCGGCAAGTACTAAAAGGCATTTTGCGCATTGAATGATCACGCCATGATTCCCTACCCCCGTTACGAGAGAGGGAAGAGGACTTCAACGTACGCCGACCAAATGTGATGAAGTGAGACGCTGGGGGCTTGCGTGTGGATGAATAAGAACACAAAAACGGGGTTTGGGACAGTTGAATCAGAGTGCGGAGTAGAGTGGCCTCTGGGATCTCTCCTCCTAAATCCAGCTACCATAGGGAGTAGTTGTGGTTTTCCTCTTTTCAATTGATCGATCAGGATTTATATCAATCAATGGACCCCGTTCCGTAACAAGGAAACAGTGACTTGGCCTGTGGCATGATCTGATGGCGAGAACCATAGAAAAGGCAACTGACCGCCCGCCTCCTCGCTGGTTCGTTCCACGACAGCTTGGTATCTCTTCCGACCCCCAAACAACCCCCAAATGGACGAGTTGATTGATGATTTGACTACCCTCACCATCCTGTTGACGGATTCATCAACGGATTCTTCGCAATAATGTTCCCATGTCAGAAAGTCACCGCCTCGAGGTGTCTCACCCAATGCTGCACGTCCACCAATTCACTCTGACCGGTAACGAGAACTTTCGCAACTCGCCGCCCCACCATCCTTACCCCTGTCCTCTCATCATTAGCATCGGCAGTCCAAGCTTCTGCTGCTGCCCACGTCCCTACGCAGCAGAGTTCTCGCCCTGCCGCCGTCTCCGGTCCTGCTGCCACTGCCGCCCATCGAGGTCAAGCACGTTTCTCCTACCACCCCACCTCATCGACCAGCAACCCCACCATCACCCCCCTCCCCCTCTCGTCCAAAACTGCCCGACGGAGCACCAAAACCAAAATATTTGAGAGCTCCCACAAACTCACCCTCTTCCACACTTCCCTCATTCATCCAAGAACTCCCCAAGCAAACAAAATGACGACCCAGGATTTCCGTCTTCTCTGCCTCGAGAACCCTCTGCTTGGTAAGGGCTCGCCTATTCCCCCTTCCCATGGATGCATTGGTTTAAGCTTCGGCGATACGCCATGCAGCCCTTCCAGCAAACTTACCCCTCCCTCACGCTGAAACCGAACTTCCTCACTAACACTGCTATTCAGACATCCAAGCAGTCGGCGACGAGGCCCTCCTGCAAAAGTACGGTCTCAAGCCTAACGACGCTATCCTCGCCGAGGAGAAGCACCTTGGCATTTATGAGGACCTCCTCAACAACTATGATGCTAAGCTCATCGCCGGCGGCGCCGCCCAGAATACGGCCCGTGGTGCCCAGTACATCCTTCCGCCCAACTCGGTCGTCTACATCGGCGGCGTCGGCGACGACAAGTACGCTGCCATTCTCCACGACGCTGTCAAGACGGCCGGCCTCCGCGTCGAGTACCGTGTCGACCCCAAGATCGCCACGGGCCGCTGCGGCGTTGTCATCACTGGCCACAACCGCTCCATGTGCACCGAACTCGGCGCCGCCAACCACTACGACCTTGAGCATCTGACTCGTCCCGACATCTGGAAGCTCGTCGAGGGCGCCCAGGCCTATTACGTCGGCGGCTACCACTTCACCGTCTGCCCCCCCGCCATCCAGAAGCTCGCCGAGGAGGCCGCCAAGAACAACAAGATCTTCGCCGTGAGCCTGTCGGCCCCCTTCATCTGCCAGTTCTTCAAGGACCCCCTCGACGCCAGCGCCCCTTACTGGGACTATGTCATCGGCAACGAGACTGAGGCCGCCGCCTACGCCGAGGCCCACAACCTCGGCACCACCGACCTCAAGGAGATCGCCAAGCACCTCGCCAACCTGCCCAAGGAGAACAAGCAGCGCAAGCGCGTCGCCATCATCACCCAGGGCACCGATCCCACGTTGGTTGCCGTCCAGGGCGAGGACAACGTCAAGGAGTATCCCGTCAAGCCTATCGCCAAGGAGCAGATCAACGACACCAACGGAGCTGGCGATGCCTTTGCCGGTGGTCTGATGGCTGGCCTCGTCGACGGCAAGTCGCTCGATGAGTCCATCGACATGGGCCAGTGGCTCGCTAAGCTGAGCATCCAGGAGCTTGGTCCTTCGTAAGTTTCCCTCCATCCCCAGTCACTACAATCACCTGGCTTCAGTGTATCCGTTGCTGCTGGCGCTCTACATTTAATTGCCTTCGCACAGGGCTCTGTAGGTTACTCTGCATCATTTGCTAACTGCGTTTTAGCTACCCCTTCCCCAAGCAGACCTATTCCTCTGCTTAGGCGGCGTGCCTTTAACCTAATGCCTCGAGCATTTCAGTTGCTTTGTTTAGGATAGTCTGGCGTTGAGGGGGCAAAGGGAAAACGGTTTCAACAACGGCGTTGGCTCCTGAAGAGCTTCAAACGAGTGGCAATCGCACTTGCATCAACTTGCAATCTGGGCAGGACATCTTCCACGATGTGAGCCCTGGGTCATGAGATATCGGGTAAAACAATGAAGAGGTTTGGCCGAATCATAACCAGCCAAATGACAATCCCAGACCATCGTCTCTCCATCCTCCATGTGAAATCTGTGAAATCGGTTCAAAACAGTTATCGGGGCAAGGTATAAGCAATTAGGCGATCGATCGACCGGCTTTCTTCTATATACATGTCAGCAGACGCCCGCTCATGGACTGCTTTGAGGGGAGGGGGCTTACATCACAGTAGCAAATATGACGCATTCAACTTACAACCATGCCGCTGAGAAGGCAGGGAGGGCCACGCAGGCATTGAGCGAGGCTTACCAGGAACGAATCCTGCTTTGGGGTAGGGTTCAACGACGTGTGTTCTGGCCCGAAGCGCGCTTTATCTCGTCGGCCATGACTGACTGAAGAATCATGTCGTTGTATCCGGCTGTGTAGCCGTCAGTAGCGGCACCTCCGTTCTGTCTGACCATGTTCTTGTAGTGGGTAGGATCCTCCCGCATGTCGGCGATGGGACCTCTTCCGAAAGCTGTGGTCGCGGTGTAGTTGATACCATTGCACGGAGTGCCCTGGTAGATGCCGCTTGTATTGGAAAACTGAGTTCCTGAAAGCGGCGAAAAGCTCTCCGCTGCAATATGAGCCATGTTGGGGCTTTGGGAGAACTGAGGTTGAGAACTGCTCAGCGAGCGGGCATGAGCAGATGACACTCTGGGCTGCAATGCATTAGGGTTCAGTTCCGCGTGTGGGCTTCCCCACAAACCGTAACCTGCTCCTGAGGAGTCGCGGCTCATGGATCTCGAGTCGGCCCGCTGCTTGCCAAATGCCTGCAGCAGGCGGTCTTGATGGGACGTGATGTCAGGAGTACTGGCGAAGGGCCGCTGCTGCTGTCGAGACAGGTAATGGTTCTCGCGAGCATCCGCAAAGGAGTCATCGAGCATGACATGGCCGGAGACCGAGACGTTTCTCTGTAGGTGGGCAGTGCCATCGAAGGACCGCCTAGCAGCTGCATCTCTAATGGCGCGGTCAGGCGGCGTCAGCTCCGAGTTCTTGCCCTGAGGCGTCGGGGTGTAGATCATGTTCCACGGAAGGCTTGGGAACGTTTTGGCTGTGGCGGAACCGAGTGCAGGTGGGCTGTTGGTCGGAGGCGCAACAAATATCTCGTTGGCCATGGCTGAGTTCATTCCGTACGAAGTGTCCTCGTGGCTCTCTGTGGGAGACACGTGGGCTTGAGGAGGCATCAGAAAGTCGTTGACCATGTGGAGCATCCCAGCGTCGGAGCTCAGGTCGTATTCGGATTGGCCATGGACTCGATTGCGACCTGGAGTCGGATGCGGCTGCACCTGCGGCAGTGCTGCATTGTGGGGTGCTCCGGGCGGTGCTCCGGACGATGCCGCACTTGAAGGTGTATCTCTAACGCGACCGGAATGCTGAGACCGCTCGCGATGCGCAATAGAAACCTCGGCAGTTGCAATCTTATCGACGGCTGGCCGAGGAGCGGCGGCGACGCTCGAAGGCTTTGGCTTATAGTCCTCCTCATACTTAAAGGTGAGCCCAGTCGGCGACGAGCTGTAAGTGAAGGGAAAATTCGTATCATCGTTGGCAAGGAAGAACCCGCACTTGATCGTGTCCAAGACCCTGGAAAAGGTCTCTTGAAGAGCGTCGAGCTTCAGACCGTTATAGTACTGGACCTGCGGCTTCAGGCTTCCGGTATCCTCGTCGTAGTTGAGGCGACAGCTCTGTGGCAGCTGTGGATCGCAGAGAGGAAGCATTCCTATGGCTTCCTGATCCTCGGCGAGCAGGTACGGAGCAAGTTTGAGGTCTTCGTTGCCGTACATCTCGCAAAGGCCAGTCAGTGCTTTCGCAAAGCCTCTGTACATGTCCTTTACGAAGAGCTCAGGAGTGTCTTGGGCACCCATGATCTCGGTGCGACAGGCCACCAGCCAGGCAGCGTACAGGCGAACAAACGGAAGAGTATTTTCTGTTAAAGCCGTAACTTTGTCCGCAGTGCCATCCTGTTCACCAGATGCCTGCTCTTCAATAAGCTTCTCTAGTTCCTTCTTGAGAAGCCGACAGAAAGTCATGAAGAAGCGGGCATTCAGACGCAGAATGAAGTGGGATGACCGCAAAGCAGCCTCAGTCCATTTGCCTATGACAAGTCAATAAATGGTTCTCAAATGCTGGAACTCTCACTCACTGCTGAGTTTCTTGTTAGAAGCGTAAAAGGCAGACATATTGAGCAAGACCATCTTCAAGAGCATAGGCCAAGTGTTGGGGGCCTTGATGGCAATCTCCAGATGATTGATCACTTCCTTTTCGAGCTCCTGGTAGGATGAAAAGACCTCGCCCTTGTTGAAGTGAGAATGCAGACGTACGAACCAGGCTACAAAAGCCTCCTGGGTATCGGGAGGACCGGTGCGACGTGCCGGTGTGACAGGCCCCTGGAGGCTCTTCAACTCAGCCTCAAGGTTCTGGGATGCCATTGGGTGGGGCTCTTCGATAGCCAGGGCGCGGTAGAAGTGGTATATGATATCCAAATGCTTCTTCTCATCCAGGAAGATGATGCCCATTTGGTGGTGAGCGAAGCCCGAAGTTGGGATAATGTCGTGGGCGAGGGAATAGTAGGTCAAGGCGGCCTCATAGCTGGGGACCTTGTGGCGTGCCTGCATCCGATACCGAGAGAGGTCGCCCAAGTGAATCAGCGCCGAGTGAACGTACTTGAGGATGATTTGGCGGACGGCCGGCGTGGTATTGGCCATTGGGTTCTCCTCCGGCAGTTTCTCGGCCTTGATGCCCTCAGCAATGCGCTGAAGCTCGGGAATCGGGTAGACGGCAGACAGACGCTGGACGAATGCGACGTAGAACTTTTGCGCCGTCTTCAAGAAGCCACTGTACATCCTATCGAGCTTGCGCTTCTGGACGGCGAGCTGTGACGATCTCAGACGGCCCAAAACCTTTCGATATTCGCTGTTGACGATGCTATGTGCTTGCCAGAGGTTCGAGTCGACCTTTTCGGTTGCGGAATACTCGAAATCGTGGAATATGACGTGGAGGCAGGCGAGGCGTAGACTAGAAAAACGTCAGGAAGGTATCGCAGGCCGGCCGGGGATCGTATCGGATAACGTACGAGGAAATGACACTCTCTAAGGCCTCGAAATGCTTGAGATCGTTGCCATCGGAGTCATTCTTGAGCTTCTCGACCTCCTTTTGTAGGTGCTTGCGAAGTTTCTGGGCTTGGCTAAAGTTGGGAGGGGTCAGCAATGGAGAGCGAGTGCCCAGGATCGCATCAATCCCGAGGAATCCAGACAAAGTGCGCAGGCCTAACCAGGCAAGAGACTTGGCGCCAGCACTAAGCCGAGGGAAGGAGAAAACTCACTGCCAGGCCTGCTTTGCAGCTTCGATATGGTCCGCCATCGTGGGGTATGACAGAGCCAGGCCCTGCAATTGGCGATGGAGGCGGGGGTGGGTGATGGTATGATGTTGCGATTATTTGCGCGATGGAGGGGGGTTGTGGAAGGTGCAGGACTCCAAAAATTCACAAAAGGAACAAAAAGAGAAGAGCCTGAAGCTACGTGCTGTGCTCACACGCTCTCGAAAACAATCTCTGAGTGCGCGCGCAATCCATAACTTGGTTGTGGGCAAGCGCTTCGTGAACGGTGAGGTCGGGTCGAGGGCAAAGGCGACAATGGCGATGGGTGCGCTGGTGGTGAGATTGGGGCGACGTTAACTCCAAGGCTTGTTGTGGTGGCACGTACTCGGGGTGATAAAATCGGCGAGAAAAACATTGGGTGGAGGTTAAGAGGGAAGGAGCGGCAAGCAATGCGCCACCCAAAGCAGACATTCAAAAGGGAGGCAAACACACAGACGACAGTGCAGGACGACAGTGGCAGACAGAGACGGCGACAACAGCAGCGCGGCAGAGGAGGGAGAGGGGAGAAGGGGGGAAAAGATGGTGATGTTGGGTCTCAATGAAGGGACGCGCGAACTTGGCTCAATGGGCGTTAAAGTGTGTTGTTCCCTCCTACCCGCCTTAGGAAATCAGTTATTTTTTTATGGAGCCCCTCAACAGCTGCCAATGTCTCTGGCCCGTGCCCTTGGGGATTGGTCCCTACGTTCGGCACCTCAACTCCCTAACTTCCAGGCTGTGCACAGCCTCTCCTGACCCTCCGTCAGTGAGCCTTGTGTCTTTGTTAGCTTTGTGAGGAGCCCCGGCCCCTTGCTTGCAGCAGCTGACGCTGATGAATGATGAATGATGACTGGACCAACTGGCATTCTGTACTTCTGTCTTTGACCTGTCAATGCCCCACCACGGCCCCGACCCTGGACTGCCCGCCGCCCGACACAACATACGATTCGATCCCATTATCGTCATTTGCCTTTGTCTTGTGGCTTGCCGACTTGCTCAGGCACCAAACAGCCATGATTTGGAATATCTAGGACCACCACATCAAACCTTTCGTCTCATCCCTGTTCCTGCCCATTCCTCGCAAACCCCGATCTCAGCAATCCAACTCAGCAAGGTAGCTTGGGGGATTCCGTGGTGATCTGCAAGTAATAAACCCCCTCTGTTTGGCCAACCTCACTGAAGATGAAACGCTCACGAGAGGCCGAAGAGGAGCAGCCCTTCTCTGGCTATTCGGCAGACGAGTATAGTAGTCCAGGGACGCCCGAGGCAGATGACCGCCTTGCCAAGTTTACAGAACTGGACCCTTCGGCCGAAACAGCACTCGAGGACTTTGCGATGAAATGCTCCATGCCACCTCACAGAGAGGTCCTCACTTTCAAATCGTACGACGAGTATGAAGCGCATTACGTGAAGACGCACACCAATAGATGCCTTGAGTGTGGGAGGAACCTGCCATCGGAGCACCTGCTCAATGTACATCACGAGGAATGCCATGATTCATTCGCCGCTGTTAGACGGGAAAGAGGAGAGCACACAGTACGATTACGGTCCCCTTACCCCCGAGATTAGGACGTCACTGATTTTGCCCGCAGTATTCCTGTTTTGTTGAGGGCTGCGAGAGGAAGTGCATGTCGCCGCAGAAGCGTCGGATGCATCTTATCGACAAACACGGTTTCCCGAAAAATTACTTTTTCGCGGTGACCAAGGAGGGCATCGATGGGCGACGGTCGTTACTTGTCGAAGGCGGCCATCATCGGCGCAAGTCATCCAGCGCCTTCGGTATGACTAAGGAGTCGAAGCGCAGATCAGGCATCGAAGAGTTGTCCGCACCGCAAACCAAAGAATCACAAACAACAAGTAAGATATCGACGGAACCGACACCCACCGCCTCGGTGACAAAAGAGCGTCCAGACACGGAAATGGACGACCTTGCCGGCGCCATGTCAGCACTGCAATTTGTCCCAAACAGCGTGCGGTTTGGAAGGGGTGGTGGGCGGGCAGGGTTTGCAAAACGATAAGACGGCCCCTGTTAAACGATGAAAACGTCACGATGCATAGTACTACTTCGATTAGCGTTCAGGCAATGATGATACCAAAACGGTCAATTGAAAGGATCACTACCTCTTTGCGGCAAAGTCATGACCCGAGTGATCGTACCCTGGGTCTGAATCATCCCCCCATACCAAGCGCCAAACGCCAGTCCTCCGCGGCTGGAAGCCTCGCGGAGATGATTTTCCCCTCAATAAAATTCTTTTGAGCGGCTGCACATGAGCTTCTAGTCACTGGAAGCGCAGCCGTGGCAGCCACAGTTGACGCATTGGACCTCCTGGTCTTCCTTAAGCTGGGCTTTCGGGACACGGCATATACACGTTGAGTTGAAGTTGGTCTCCTTGGTCTGGACGCAGCGCAGGCAGCAGAGCTTTCGTGGCCGTTAGCATCAGTTTGTTAAAAGATGATGGGGGGGGGGGGCATTTTCGTACCTTCTCGTAGCCCTGCTTCTTCCACTTGGCGATCAGCATGGCATCAGCGTACCCGTTTTTCAACAGCCACTCGTACAGTTGCTTGCTGATGGCCTCCTTCTCGTAGTACAGGTCGTAGATGTATCTGCTCCGCGTGTGGGCGATTTGGAAGATCTCCCACTGCGCCTGGTGCTTCGGCCCCGTCGGCGGCGGCTTGTTCTGGGCGTCCTTCATTTTGTTCTGGAAGATTAGGAGCTGGTCCTCGATGTCGCTGAAGCCTTCTGGGGCGGCTTGCGTTTCGACGATCGCAGAGGAGGCATTTTGGATGGTTGAATTTGGTGAATCTCCGGTCAAAAGAAACCTTCGTAGTGGCTTGGAGTATACGGGAGATTCTTCGAGGTTCGGTCGCGCCGCAGTCGTATGCTGAGTGACGAAGGCGTTGATGTTCGAAGACCAATAATGTAGTGGGGCAAAAGGTTCCGATAATCACTTATCGAACCCGCCTTGCCTGCCCATCTGCGCGCTAAGGGCGGCTACGCTAGCGCCAGGTACTCGCGTCCGCTGACTAAGGAAACGCACGTGATTGGGCGGCTCTTCTCCAACACTGGATTGGGGAGCTTTACCAAGATTCCCGACGACGAACTGAACGGCCGCCGGCAAGCACGCAGCAGCAACCCGCTCCCCCTCCTTCAACAGCATCCCCGCGCTCACCATGGCCATCACACCGACCCAATTCGCAAAGACGACCAGGCAGTGTGAGTGCCGCGTCCCAATTGAGCCCCGAGGCCTTCCACTGATCCCTTGAGCAGCGGCCAACTGGAACGACGCAAAGCGCCGGGTTCTCTCCTCGTACAGAGAATGGATCCGAGCTGTATGTTTCTCCTTCCGGTTCCTTTCGGTTGCCTTCCGATAGCCTGTCAACGGGCGATGCGATTGACGAACCGAACGGTCCTCAGCTGAGCTGAGGAGACCAAGGGCACCGTGCTAATCAGGTGATGCGATACCAGGCGCCCGAGATCCAGACAATGTACAACGTCCCCCTGCCCGTGTCTGTCCTCCGCACCCGGATACGCGAGGAGTTTGAGCGCCACAGGTTCGCCAAAAAGCTGCCCGTTGTGGATGTCCTTCTCTTCAAGAGTCACGCCGAGTACCAGGTATGGAACCGACCGCCCCTGCCTAGCGTAGGGTAAACGAACGGGAGGGGAGAGAAAGAGGACCTCGATTGCGACAAAACATAGGGCGGGAAGAGAACCGAACAAGGGCTGACGTTTGACATGCGATTGTAGGAGACAATGAACTTCTGGAAGCAGACCACGCACGTCATGTCCTACTTCAAGGAGGAGAACTTCAGAGGAGACAAGCGGTTGCCCAACAATTTTATGACCGGATTCTTGGAGGTAAGTCGTGATGGCGGAAAAACGGTCACAAGGGGCAAGAGCTCTACTTGGGAGACACGAAGAATGGCGGACAGGGCTGAAAGCGCCAGGCTAACTTGGTTCTTGACTCACATGCTAACCAAACGTCTAGGGCCGCAACTAAGAGCGCTGAATGGAATTAGAGCTCGTGTACATAACATACAACAGTTTCAAAAAACACTTCCCGCAAAGCAACACGATAACTCCAATTGGGCACTCTGTCTCTGTCTCTTTTCTCTATGCCATTGATGATCCCTAAACGCCTATTATTCTTGACATGTCAAAGGAATAAAACAAAAAGACCCGCTACGAGCGGCCAAACTCCTCCTTGGCGCGGATGAACTCCTCGGCGACGGTGTCGCTGAGGGCCTGCAAGTCCTTGAGACCCTTTTGCAGAGCCGAAACTGCGGTGCCATCTGGGCGGAGGTCAGCATGGGTTTAGGGACGTCCCGGAAATGAAGGTGATAACATGATGGAGGGGAGAGTGACGGTGAGGGTGAGGGCGGGGGATGCTCACCGTAGGTCTGGATTCTAATGTTCATCTTGGCCTCGGAGGGGTGAGGGATGGCGTAGGCGCAGAACTCCACGTCGGGGCTGGTGGCAGTGTTAGTCCGTGTTAGGGAAAAGACTCCAAAAGGCTACTGGTCGCTGCCAAGAGTAACAGGAGGCGGCGACGTACTTCTTCATGATGATATATCTCAGCGCGTTGCCAAGCGTGTGGCCCTCGTCGATGAACTCGAACGATGCGGCTGTGTCCGTCGAGCCAGGCAGCTGTTGGAACTGTCAGTTCCCATCCCACCTCACATGACGAAGCCCCCCACCTCTTTCAGGGAGATGTTGGGACAAATAGAAGACTCACAATCTTGACGCGCTGGGGCTCCTCCTCTTCCTCTTCCTCCTCCTGCTCAGGCGACCCCTCCTGCACCTCAGCCTCCTCCTCCTCCTCGGGCTGGTGAGACGTGGGCGCCTCGTCCATGGGGACGTCTTCCGAGGTGGTTCTGCCGGGCATCTCTGAAACTATGCGAAGGGTTGCTTTTACGAAAGGGTATATGTCTCTTTTTGTTTGCTATTCAACTGAAACGACAAGGGTTCGGCGCAGTGCGATTGTGATTTCCTTCTTCAGTTTTGGCCGCCGGTGGAGGTGGTTAATTTGGCTCTCACTTTCACCTCTCAAGCCTTAAAAAAAACAAGAGGTCCGTTGACTTCCACCGAATTTTTTTGATAACGGCTCCGCGGATCGAAATTGATAAGCTGCCAGTTGGCGCCGCCACAGCTGCTAGTGGGTCTCACCCGGTGCCAGCCGGGCACCATCGCATCGGCATATTACCTAAGCACGAACTTTGCTTCCCATGCGTCACATTGCCATTGCCATCGCCGCAGCACTTAAGCGCCACAACTGATAAATGGTGGGAAACCCATCTCGCATTCAAGGACATCAAGTACGTCGCCCGGAAGTTGCATTCGCGTGCACAAGCCTCGAGCCCGTCCAACGGGGGGCGGAAAAGACAGAAAGCCATCCATTTTCCTCCGGTGTCTTCCAGGTTTGCACATGCCAAGAGGGAAGCCCAGCGTCAAACTAGCTTTCGCCGGTTGCGACTCATCCACCAAACCGCTCACAATGCGGTTGCTTGGTGGGCTTTTTGTCCTTGAAGGGGGAGACAAACACGGACAAGAAAAGGATGCGTGGCGCGCGGCAAGATGCAGTCGACAGGCGAACAAGCGATACCTGAAGCAAGGGGATGACGGCTAACTGGTCGGCTGCAACGAATGGGACGCCCTCGAAAAAGATGTTGCCTCCCCCCCCCTCCCCCCTTCTCTTTTTCTTGAGAGCAAAACCGCTGGGTCTGTCTGTCTGTGTGGTATGGTGGCGCGCTGCTTAATTCCCTCGAGCTTGGGCTCGTCGATCAAAGAGCATCCATCATCTTGCATTTGTCGTTAGCCTATCCTGAACCGCGTCTCCGCTTAGCGTGTAGAGACTATTGGACCGAACAAAGTCTGCCTCCGTCTCAGTCACAAGTCGCAAGCAGCGAGACAGTCGGTATCTAAGGAATGAAAAGGGGCCGCGACAAGTAAGCAAGTCATTGCCTTTCTCCGACGAGACATCTACAAACTGCCCTCGATTTTGAACATGACCGCCGCCCACGGTGCGGTTTTTTTTTTCTTCTTCGATCCGATTGTCGGGTTCCCGGCTGTCGACGTCTCGGGCGAGGCAACATGGCAGGACCCTAACCGCATGCATCGTCCACGGGCCATATGACTCCCGCGTGGGCGCTGAGGGCCTTGGATGTCTGCCCTACCTACGTAAGCCCGCATACACGTAGGGGAGGCACGCGGGGGTTAACGGCGGGATTAAACGCATTGTACGGATAACACACGCATCGAACATCACGAGCCCCGGAAACCACTACTACAACACAAGCAGGGGGCACGTTGAAGAGGAGGGGACAGAAACACCTGATGGTGGCCCTAGGGCCCTAGAGTTAAGCCAAAGCGCAATGCAGAGAAGGCCCCCTTCTTTGCCAGGCCGAGCAAAGCCCCGTCTCGGTTTCTCCCCCGCCCGGTCAGACGACCTGGGTTCGGATTGTATTGTTGGCTTGCCAGGCTGCTGCCCGCCCGAACTTCACACTTTTCGTGATCGACCAGCGCTGTCACATCAGAAACAAGTGTTGATTGGCCGATGACCGCCCATCTCGTTTCAAGACAAGGCAGGTTCGCCAATGTGATTGGTTCGTTTCTTCCGTCCTCAAACCGGAGCCCAGTAAGTGGGTTTGGCCACCAGGGATGGCGATGAGAACAGTGATCATCCTGGCCAACCAGGAGGCGGATCCGCACCTAGTCGCATGGGCTGACGGATCGTTTTGTAGGATGATGAGCAAGAATCCATGGTGAATCGTCTGTGGGCTCCCCTAGTCCTTCTGAAGAGATGGATTGGAGGCGGGAGAAACAAGGAAGGGGAAGAGAGGTTTACGTGTAGAGTGTTGTACCGAGGAAAGAGAAGTCTCGGCAAATGAAGGGAGCCACCAGTGTTGTCACAAGCCGAATAACGACGTTGCCTTCCATTCTTATGCCGCCGCGGTACGGCCATAATGAGGGTGAGGATGTGGTTTATCCAGCGGGACCAAGGAACAGTGGCGGAAAGAAAGGCTGGTAGTTCCGAAAACGATGAGGAAGCAAAATTTAGGGGGATGTAACATCAACGACGAACCTGGAACTGTGGTGGAGATCTCGGGGATGGTGTGTCATTAGTGAAAATGGAAGGGGTGAATTACATAGTCGCAAAATAGAACAGACGAAGGTCGATATTGGGCTGAGGACAGCGTTCCCGAAAGCCGGCGGATTAGTAGGAGTCGAGTGCTGTGGTTGTACGACGTTTTTCGTCTATGAGTATATCAACCTGCGAGCCAAGTACCGTAAAGCATGGACGGACGCATGACGGGAAAGGGAGATTTGACCAGAGATTTAAAAGTGTATTTTGTATAGAATTTGTATTTTTTTTAAAATACAAGGCTTTTTAGACTTAGTTATAAATATTAAATTATAAAATTAATATATATTATAGATCTTAAAATTATTACAAGGGTTATCTAATATAGTTTCTATTTTTAGTAATTATATACTAATATATACTAGTAAATACAACTTGTATTTGTATTGTATTTTTTGCCTAGCACTATACAATACATGTTAGTGCCTATACTAAAAATAGATTTCTTAAAACTAGAATAGAAAAGCGGGGCTACTTCCTAAAAAGGAAATAAAAATATTAATAAATCAAGAAAAAAAAGCTTTATCTAAACCTTATTTTACTTTATTTTTATATAGCTTATATAAGCCTTTATAATTACTAATACTTTTTTACTACACTATAAAGGTCTTAACACTTGTATAGAAACCTTGTATTTTTTTTTAGAACTCTGGATTTGACACTCAGCGGGAGGTGGCGCTGCCATCGGTGACGACGACGACGTGGAGAAGGTTGGAACTCTCCGACTCGTATTCTCTTCTCTTCACTCATCAACTTCATGCTCATGGTACGTGCGCGTGTGCCACATCTCAACTCAGCCTCTGGATCGAGGTACACATGAGGGGCTGGTGACACATGTGGGTTTGCGGCTTACATAGTGTAGTGTAGTAACGGTCGTGGGATATGGCCGGGATCGTCAGGGACGTTTGAACACGGATGTTCCTCCCCCCTGTTCTGCCTCGCCTACAGTAGCTGAAGCTGGAGTCGGAATTTGACGTGCGGAGAAAAAGTGTGAAAGTGACGTTGCTGTACGGATACCCGTTACCTATGTGTACATAGTACGCATGCTAACTTCAATCTCGCCAGCTCAGCCTTCAAGAGGCTCAGATGAGGTTCAATTGCTAGAGTGTTGTGTTTCAGCGATGGGCAGTCGCCCTCCGAGTGGCTACTGATCATTGTCGATGGTTATCATGCATACATAGTTGGTAGGCCGTGGGAGCACTGATGAAGTAAGACACAACTGAACACGCGATCTGAATACGAAGACAGTCTGGTCTCGCACACACAAGCACGACTAGCAGCGCGGCAACGAGAAGCAATCAGAGTCGAGGGACTAACTTTGCTTTCTGGTTAGTGGGAACACCGCCTTTGGGCCCGACAAGACGGGACCATATTGTTGGCTGCCCTGCTGGAGCGAGCCATTGATGGGCTGATGGGGCCAGTCTGTCTTGTGAAGATTCATCCATGTGGGGTCGCTAGGTCCATCAGAAGTGACCAGGGCGTGCGGGCGGGCATGGGTGGGTGACACTGGAGGAGGGTAGGTAGAGGCACTATATTTCGCGAGTGAAAGTCTCGTTTGGAGTTTGGTCGAAATATCCCGAGCCTATCGTAGCAAATTTCAGGCGTTGCTGTTCGGTTGACAATGAATCAACTTGATCATTTGGAGTCTGCAGTCATGGGGCGCCGGCCCGCGTGTTTTCAGGGAAAATTGTAGGCCGCAATTCTCGTTAATTGAGAATCGAAAGCACCATCGCTCATGGTTCCCATGCGCTCTCTGATGAAGTCCTTCGGCTCGAGTTTCTGACAGTGAGGCAAGATGTTGCCGTTGCGATTCGTACAGGCTTATACAAGTAAGGTGTTTTAGAGTCCAGATACTGCAAGCAGGCTAGTCATTTTTTAGTCTTGCCCGCCTTCTTCACACCTGCCGACAGCGCGCCGGCGCCACCTGTTCGGGTTCTCTCTTGGGGGCCGTATTGCCCTTCACGCCCGCCTGATAGCAGACGAGTGCCATGCATCGACGCCTCGACTAGTTTGGCCCGCAGACGGTTTGCGGCGCCGGCATACGGCGAAGGCGAGCAGCTGGGTTAATATCACGTCGACAACTATTAGGAGGTAGGAAATGGCCAGCAGCAGGTATGTAAGAGCACAGGCACAGACATCAAGCGTAGGCACAGGCCACCCGGGCTGGCCGCCTTTTAGGGCTTGCAAGGGTCTGGAGACATGTCGAAAGCCTTCGAGATGACGCTTCAGAGTGGTCTACATTCTGCGACAGCGGCATGCCGACAATAGAGTGGCTGATAGCCGCCCCACGTCGTTTGGCCCACTGAAAGCATAGCATATATGACGTCTCAGTGGTGGGAAAGGCACACAATCCGTACAGCATGGGGTTCCGTACAGCATGGGATGAGACGGCGGTGAAAGCAATGGGCGTTTCTGTGCACTGCTATGTGCCTGTGTGTTGTGGCGGTTGAAACAACCGAGTCCCGGTTCTGGCTGCTCGGCTGGGCCTGTCACCCAGGGCAGACGAGCTGGGGGCGGAGTCGCAAGCGCAACTACATAGGCAATGGTGGGCAAAGATACGTGGTACGTACGTTTGTACGTACGTTCAATGGGGGGGGGCCGATAGTGGGATACTGGTGGTCGTGATCTGTGTCAATCGTTTCTACTGGTTGTTGCGTGTCAAGCTGCGCGTCCCTCGGCTGGGAACGAAGAAGCACGGCGAAGCCATGGACGGCGATGTGAGGAAAAAGAGTCATCCAGGTCGGGGTTCGGAGGTCTTGGCCGGCCGAGAGAGAGAGGCCCGATTATTAGGGCCTCTGCTCAGAGGTAATGTGCGGCAAAGTCAACCGAGCCAGACACACTGACACCAAGGCAAAGCCAGGAATCACCGTTGTTCGCAGAAAGAGAGAGAGAGTTGGGGGCCCCGCCGTTAATGTTTCCGTCTGGTCTTTTTTTGTTCTCGACGATGTGCGTGCCCGCTGCGCCTTGGAGATCGAAAGAT